GTTCCTTTGCTGATGCAGGAGGGTCTAAGGACAGAGATGATACAGGACTTTGAAGGACATTTATGGAGCGAGAGACCAGAGAGAGAGACCGGAGAGAGACCTGAGCAAGTGAGAACAGAGTGAGGGACCAGAGCGAAAAAGCAGAGAGAGAGACAGAGCAGAGGAAGAGACCAGAGAGAGAGAGAAACCAGAGAGAGAGAAAAGAGGGAGAGAGAAACCAGAGAGACGGGAGAGAGAAAGCAGAGAGAGAGCAGAGAGAGAGACCGGAGAGAGAGAGACCATAGAGAGACAGACCAGAGAGAGACAGACCAGAGAGAGACAGACCAGAGAGAGACAGACCAGAGAGAGACAGACCAGAGAGAGACAGACCAGAGAGAGACAGACTAGAGAGAGACAGACTAGAGAGAGACAGACTAGAGAGAGACAGACCAGAGAGAGAGACCAGAGAGAGAGAGACCAGAGAGAGACAGACCAGAGAGAGACAGACCAGAGAGAGACAGACTAGAGAGAGACAGACCAGAGAGAGACAGACCAGAGAGAGACAGACCAGAGAGAGACAGACTAGAGAGAGACAGACCAGAGAGAGAGAGACCAGAGAGAGAGAGAGACCAGAGAGAGAGAGAGACCAGAGAGAGAGAGAGACCAGAGAGAGAGACAGACCAGAGAGAGAGAGACCAGAGAGAGACAGAGACCAGAGTGGGAGAGAGACCAGAGTGGGAGAGAGACCAGAGTGGGAGAGAGACCAGAGAGAGACCGGAGAGAGACAGACCAGAGAGAGACAGAACAGAGAGAGAGACAGACCGGAGAGAGACAGACCAGAGAGAGACAGAACAGAGAGAGAGACAGACCAGAGAGAGAGACAGAACAGAGAGAGAGACAGACCAGAGAGAGAGACAGACCAGAGCGGGAGAGAGACCAGAGAGCGACATAACGTAATTAAATTTTAAAAACAGACGCAGAAAATGTTTCTCCTTGAATCGACTCGTGAAGCTTTCGTACAAAGTGAATTGTCGTAACATGACTTTATTTCTCAGGACTGAAGAGCGGAGCAGGTTCGGCGCCGCAGGTTGCGACGTCTCTCCAAAAAAAACGTGTCGCGGTGGGATTATTGAAATCTCCCGTCCGCAGACACGTTCTGTTCCCTTCTGTTTGAGGTTCTGGGGCTAATTAACTCTCGCGGCCGCCATTCAAACACACTCATCAGCTTTACAATTAGCAGGATGAAGCAGGAGTTTGAGAGGAGCTTTCTCTAAACACTGGGGCTCGCCATGCTCAGAAAAGGACATGCAGCTTAGCGACTGTGAGGATTAACAATGAGATGTTGGAGGCTGCACAAGAGGCAGTGTCGGTTTGTGTTGTCGTTTTAAGTTGCTTTGGGAGTAAATAGTGTAGGATGTCTGTGCTAGGGTCTTGGAAGGAGAGATTGTGATGCCAGGGAGTTAAAGAGAGACAAGAGGGAGAGAGACAAGAGCGATGTGAGGGAGAATAGAGAGGGACGGAGACCAGAGGGAGACCAGAGAGAGGGAGACCAGAGAGAGGGAGACCAGAGAGAGGGAGACCAGAGAGAGGGAGACCAGAGAGAGGGAGACCAGAGAGAGGGACTAGAGAGAGATAGACCAGAGCGAGACGAGAGCGATGAGAGAGAGAAAAGAGAGAGACGGAGAGAGACCAGAGGGAGAGACCAGAAAGAGAGAACGGGAGAGAGAGACCAGCGAGAGACCAGAAAGAGACCAGAAAGAGACCAGATGGAGACCAGCGAGAGACCAGCGAGAGACCAGCGAGAGACCAGCGAGAGACCAGAGAGAGACCAGAGAGAGACCAGAGAGAGACCAGAGAGAGACCAGAGAGAGACCAGAGAGAGACCAGAGAGAGACCAGAGAGAGACCAGAGAGAGACCAGGGAATGTCAAGCGAGAGACGGACCATAGTAAAGTTAAGTTACCCGGCTTAAGACTTTTTTGGAAAACATCCCACTATAGACCTTTACAAAAACCTGCTTTTTATTGAACTACTTTCTCTGAGCCAAGCCTCCCATTCACTCTGCCTCTGTCCGATTGTCATTTTGAAGGAGCGACTTTTGAAAACCCCGGACACTCTCTCTGATGAAACTCGTTGGTATTTTGATCATTCGTCTCCCGCAGAAATACTTTCTGCATTTAATAAGTGTGATAGCTCACTCCTCTTCATTACAGTGCTCTCTGACAGTCCACTGCGCCTGTGATTAAGCAGAGAGCACAGAGAGAAGGGAGAGAGAGAGCAGAAAGAGGAGAGCGTGAGGAGAGAGTGGAGAGAGCGGAGAAAGGGGAGAGAGAGCAGAGAGAAAGGAGAGAGTGCAGAGTGTGGAGAGAGTGAGAGAGAGGAAAGTGGAGAGAGAGGGGAGAGTTTTCACCAGAAGGAGATTGATAAAACATTTGCATTGCATTTTATCAAGTCCTTTCTGCAACAATTCTCTCTCTCTCTCTCTCTCTCTACTCTCTTTCTCTCTGGTCTCTCTCTAGTGTAAATAATATACACATACTGCAGGATAAATGCAGTATGGTAAAAGTAGACAAAGTGACATCTTCACCTTCAAATCAGCTCCGGGTCTTGAGCAAAGTGAAGGCTTACATCCCACCCACTGACTTTGAGCGAGTTATCCACCTTTTATTTCATCTAGATTAGATTATTGTAACTCCTTGTACTGTGGTCTGGACCTGGGCTCATTAAAGCGCCTTCAGCAGGTGCAGAATGCTGCTGCTCGACTCACAGGGACAGAGAGAGCACATCACCCCTGTGCTGGCCTCACTTCACTGGCTCACAGGGACAGAGAGAGCACATCACCCCTGTGCTGGCCTCACTTCACTGGCTCACAGGGACAGAGAGAGCACATCACCCCTGTGCTGGCCTCACTTCACTGGCTCACAGGGACAGAGAGAGCACATCACCCCTGTGCTGGCCTCACTTCACTGGCTCACAGGTACAGAGAGAGCACATCACCCCTGTGCTGGCCTCACTTCACTGGCTCACAGGGACAGAGAGAGCACATCACCCCTGTGCTGGCCTCACTTCACTGGCTCACAGGGACAGAGAGAGCACATCACCCCTGTGCTGGCCTCACTTCACTGGCTCACAGGGACAGAGAGAGCACATCACCCCTGTGCTGGCCTCACTTCACTGCCTCACAGGGACAGAGGGAGCACATCACCCCTGTGCTGGCCTCACTTCACTGGCTCACAGGGACAGAGAGAGCACATCACCCCTGTGCTGGCCTCACTTCACTGGCTCACAGGTACAGAGAGAGCACGTCACCCCTGTGCTGGCCTCACTTCACTGGCTCACAGGTACAGAGAGAGCACATCACCCCTGTGCTGGCCTCACTTCACTGGCTCACAGGTACAGAGAGAGCACATCACCCCTGTGCTGGCCTCACACCACTGCCTCACAGGTACAGAGAGAGCACATCACCCCTGTGCTGGCCTCACTTCCCTGGCTCACAGGTACAGAGAGAGCACATCACCCCTGTGCTGGCCTCACTTCACTGGCTCACAGGTACAGAGAGAGCACATCACCCCTGTGCTGGCCTCACTTCACTGGCTCACAGGTACAGAGAGAGCACATCACCCCTGTGCTGGCCTCACTTCACTGGCTCACAGGTACAGAGAGAGCACATCACCCCTGTGCTGGCCTCACTTCACTGGCTCACAGGGACAGAGAGAGCACATCACCCCTGTGCTGGCCTCACTTCACTGCCTCACAGGGACAGAGAGAGCACATCACCCCTGTGCTGACCTCACTTCACTGGCTCACAGGTACAGAGAGAGCACATCACCCCTGTGCTGGCCTCACTTCACTGCCTCACAGGGACAGAGAGAGCACATCACCCCTGTGCTGGCCTCACTTCACTGGCTCACAGGGACAGAGAGAGCACATCACCCCTGTGCTGGCCTCACTTCACTGGCTCACAGGGACAGAGAGAGCACATCACCCCTGTGCTGGCCTCACTTCACTGGCTCACAGGTACAGAGAGAGCACATCACCCCTGTGCTGGCCTGACTTCACTGGCTCACAGGTACAGAGAGAGCACATCACCCCTGTGCTGGCCTCACTTCACTGGCTCACAGGGACAGAGAGAGCACATCACCCCTGTGCTGGCCTCACTTCACTGGCTCACAGGGACAGAGAGAGCACATCACCCCTGTGCTGGCCTCACTTCACTGGCTCACAGGGACAGAGAGAGCACATCACCCCTGTGCTGGCCTGACTTCCCTGGCTCACAGGTACAGAGAGAGCACATCACCCCTGTGCTGGCCTCACTTCACTGGCTCACAGGTACAGAGAGAGCACATCACCCCTGTGCTGCACTTCACTGACTCCGTTACTTTCAGGGTTGATTTTAAGATTCTGATGCTTGTTTTTAAGTGTTTGAACGGTTTGGCCCCTGTGTATCTGTCGGAGCTGTTATCTCTGTATGCTCCTGTCAGATCAGTGACGTACAAAAACCAGCTTCTGTTGAACGTGACCCGGTCTTGTCTGAAAACTCGAGGAGACTGAGCCTTTTCTGTTGCCGCCCCCAAACTGTGGAATAGTCTACCTCTGTACATTAGAGCAGCTCCTTCATTGGAAGTTTTAAAATCTAGTTTAAGACACATTTTTACACCTTGGCTTTTAACACCAATTGAGTTTTACCATTTCATTTTTACATGTATGTGTTTGTATTTCATGCCGTTTTCTTTCTTTTGTTTTTATCTTTCGTTCCTGTGAAGCACTTTGAGAAGCTGGTGTTGTTGTATATGTGGTATACAAATAAAATTGACATTGACGTCTAGTGGAGATTGCAGTATTGCACATGAGTCATGGTTCATTGCACCAAGTTGAGCATTATTCTAAAACATAATTCCCTCGTGTGTGTTTGTGTGACAGAGGATGTGACATTATAAACCTCTCTGGACAGATTTGATTCTCTGATCTGTCGTTGAGCAATCATCAACTTTGCAGTAATCCTTTTTGTCTTTATTTTTCCAGGTGGACGCTGGTTGGATCGGGTTCTGGTCGGTGGTCGGTGGATGTGTGTTTGGAATCGCGATGGCGAAGTAAGTAAAGGAAAAGGATTCTCTTCTGTGCTGGGCTTGTATCAGTCGGGGTCTTTAAAGCTGCACTGATTTGGAGACATTTTCAAACGCAGCGATGCTCGCCCTCCCCGCACCCACGGAGCTTTTGCCCCCCGCTACCTCCCCCGCAGCCTGTGCTCTGTGCTGTTGTTAGCTTCGGAGCTCGCGTCTCACAATATGGAACAAAATGGCCCTTTTGCACGTGGATGGCGTGACCACAGAATGACAGAACCAGGAAGCGCGGAGAGGACGAGACTTTATTTTGATGGATGTTTCGCTGTTTAAGCAGTAACGAAGACCAGGAAGCTTCAGGTTAGCCTCTGCCGCTTGTTGTGCTAACTCAGCTGTCTGTGCTAACCACAGACCAGTGGCTTTTCTCACAAAAGTGGGGGCCAGTGGTCCGCTGTGATTGGTCACAATCTGGACCCAAAACACATTCTCTTCGTTGTTTCATGAAAACTCGATCTAAAATATAATGTCACGCCAGCACAAATCTGCGCTACTTATTCTTCAAAAGGACGTATATCCCAATGCACTGCATGGACATGGATTGAATTTTCGTAATGAATACAAAAATAAAGTCAGTTAGTGCAGCTTTAAAGCTGGGGTACCTAGATTTTTTAAACACTAATAGCACCATAGTTTGTCCAGAACAGAAAGTAAAATGTTCGGGTCAAGTCAGACCACACCATTCTGACTTCTTATTAGAAAACAGAATCTTGGGCTGGTTCTGGAGGTTCTGTCCATGGTATCTATTATAACTCCAGTAGCAGTCATTTTGATGGCTCCATTTATTGAATATAAAATTAAAATGTTTGGTTTGCTTGGTCACAACTTGGTCAACATTGCCTTTTCTCAAGGATCTTGTACTGGACTGGTCCCGGAATGGTCCTGGGTTGGTTCTAGTCTGGTTCTAGCAGAACTCCCAGAACTCTCCATACTTCTGGGAGTCCTGCTGTTAGATGATATAAAATAAGTTCATTCATTCCTTCATTTTCAAGCCCTTTATTGTCCATTTCTGGGTCAGGGGGGTGGCAATGAGAGCTGCCACCCAACGCTCATAGCACCAGTCCCTCGCTGATCCTCTGCAGGGGGTGAGTCCACAGGAAGATGGCTGCTCTGTCAGTGGTGACACAGCCTTGGTCTTTCAGCGGGGGCTTCAGGCAACGTGGGGTTAAGTGTCTTGCCCAAGGACACAACGACAGTAGACATCAGTGGGAGCAGTTGGAGTAGGTCCCATGGTGGGAATTGAACTCACGACCTCCAGGCTCAAAGGCCAATGCTCTACCAACTGAGCTACTGTCGCCCCTTGATAAAAATTGATATATTTATATATATTGATATAAAATAAGTCATTTTATTAATTCTAATATTACAGGTAAGTCCCGCCTTCCCTTCTCTCTATAGTTAAGAATCCACGGTGCCGTCGAGGTTAACCAATCGAGTCATGCTAAGGGCTGTCAATCATCGGCACTGATGCTCGTAGCTGCTCATGCTCAGTTGATTGTTTTCACGGAGCGTCTGAATCAAGCCTCTATTAGTAAGTAAGTAAGTAATCTTTATTTATATAGCGCCTTTCACAGACCAGAGTCACAAAGCGGTTTACAATTGTTATTTTTTGGGCACTTGTCCTCTCACTCCACACAGAGATGGGAGCGGGGTCGCCAGTACAGGAGGCACATGCCAGACATATTGTACATATTTTTAGTGGTAGGGGAAACCGGAGTACCCGGAGGAAACCTATGCAGACACGGGGAGAACATGCAAACTCCACTCAGAAAGGCCCTGGTCCGACCGGGATTCGAACCCAGGACCTTCTTGCTGAGAGGCGAGAGTGCTATCCACTCAGCCACCGTGCCGCCCAAGCATATTAGCATATTAGGCTCTGGAACTACATGAAATCTGAACAACGAATTCTGAACATCTGCGCTGAGGTACTTATGTATAAACTGAACCTATGACAGAAACCTTTGAAACAAACCTTTCAAATCAAGCACCTCTCTGTCTCTCTTTCTGACAAACTCCAGACAACCACTTTAACACAACAAGGCTCACTTTTTCATCACTCCTCCATCCTCCTTCACTTAGCGGGCCACACAAACAGAAACCCAGCACTACAATTCTTTAAAGAGTTATTATATAAATTATAAATAGTAATTATGTAAAAGTCATGATATAAAGTCATGTATGAGAGCAGAACGAGGTTGTGTGTCCTCTCGGGGGAAGTCAGAGGCGCTGGTGTGAACTGTGTAGAATCTGCAGCCTCAGCTCTTCCCCAGCTCTTCCTCTGACCCTGATCTAAAGCATGGACCTCATTTCCCTTCGATGCTGTTTATAAGATGCACCAAAATATTATGCAAATGTAAAGATCCACCTCCTGCTGACGACAGCGAGAGAGCACACAGGGAGTTGTTGATATACAGGTGATGTCTTCTCCAACATAACTCACACTTACTTTCTGGTCTCTCTCTGGCCTCTCTCTCTCCGCTCTCTCTCTCTGCTCTCTCTCTCTGGTCTCTCTTAGGTCTCTCTCTCTGGTCTCTCTCTTTCTCTCTCTCTCTGGTCACTGATGGATGTAGAGCTGGAGTGCAGTGTGCAGAGCTGTAAAATCACCCGTTCTCTCTGATGCAGATTGCACTCACAGCTTCCTCCATGAGTGTTACTCAAGCTGTAATCAGGTGTGTGTGTGTGCGTGTGTGTGCGTGCGTGCGTGCGTGCGTGTTTGTGTGTGTGTGTGTGTGTGTGTGTGTGTGTGTGTGTGTGTGTGTGTGTGTATTTGTGTGTGTGTGTGTGATCTTTATTCATTCACTGCCTTTCTCCAATTCTCAAAGCACTTAACAATTGTGTGATGCTAATTTTACAAATCTGACATGTTTTTAGTCTCTCTCTAGTGTCTTTCTGGTGTCTCTTAGGTCTCTCTCTCTTGTCTCTCTCTGGTCTCTCTCTCTGGTATCTTTCTCTGGTATCTTTTTCTGGTCTCTCTCTCAGGTCTCTTTCTCTCTAGTCTTCTCTCAAGTCTCTCCATTTCTGGTCTCTGGTCTTTCTCAGGTGTATCTGGTCTTGCTCTGGTCTCTCTCAGATCTCTCTGTGGTCTCTCTCTCTTGTCTCTCTGGTCTCTCTCTGGTCTTTCTCAGTTGTATCTGGTCTCGCTCTGGTCTCTCTCAGATCTCTCTCTGGTCTCTCTCTCTGGTCTCCCTCTCTAACAAAGGAAGACAGCCTGTTGTGGTCTAAGATACAATCATTTTAAATTTCTTGGTCCATTGTGAAGACAGTTTGTGACTTTTCTTCTCTGGTACGTTCTGTTCCTTTTGAAATGATTTAATGATTTAAGACTAATAGAATATTGTCCACTGCTGAGTACAAATATAAAATAAATAAATATACACTAACACTGTTAAGTCTGTTTTAAAGCCTCTCATTTGCCGTGTGTTCTCTCCAACAACATCATAAAACAATTTACCTTTAAGTCAGAAGGAATTATGTGTGGCTTGTGTGCACCAAAGTGATTAGTGGTCTCTCCCTCTGGCCTCTCTCGCTGGTCTCTCTTTGGTCTCTCATCTCTCTCTCTCTATGGTGTCTCTCTCTTTAGTCTCTATCAGGTCTCTCTCATTTCTCCAGTCTATCTGGTCTCTTCCCTCATCTCTCGCTGGTCTCTCTTCTCTCTCTGGTGTCTCTCTTGTTCTCTCTATCTGGTCTCCCTCATCTCTCTCTCTGGTGTGTCTCTTTAGTCTCTATCTGGTCTCTCTCTCTCATCTCTCTCTTTGATCTCTCTCTCATCTCTCTGGTCTCTCTCCCTGGTCTCTCTTAAGTCTCTCTCTTTTGTCTCTCTCTCGTCTCTCTCTCTGGTCTCTCACTAGTCTCTCTCTCATCTCCCTAGTTTCTCTCTCTGGTCTCTTTCTAGTCTCTCTCTCTGGTCTCTCTCTTATCCCTCTCTTTGGTCTCTCTCTCTCGTCTCTCTCTTTTGGTCTCTCTGTGATCTCTCTTTCTCTGATCTCTCTCTAGTCTCTCATTCTTTTCTCTCTCTACTCGCTACTCATGACTACATTCAAAACTATGCCCAAAGTAAATATTCTCAAAAAATGTAGCAAAAACGCAGTAACAATATAATAACTCAAATATATGTTTCTCTTCAGTTCTTTCCCCCTAATATTGTGTTCTAATCCCCCTCATATTTGCCGTCTCCCTCAGAGTCTGGTCTTGATCCTGAGCCCCATCTCTTCCCTCTGTATTCTGCAAACTTTTACTCATAGTTCATATCGATTATTAGATACTTTTTAAAAATGAAAGAGCCCAGTGTTTTTAATTTATTTCTCAGTCGCTCTCGCTCTCCCCGTCTCCATCATCCGTCAGGCATCGTTAAATATTGTCCCTGGAAACTCAAGGTAATGAACTGAATAAACCTCAGACGTGGCCTCAAAAAGTCTGTTCAGAAAAGTCAGGTTTTCAAATGTGGAAATCCAGCAACAATTCAATCCAGAGTTTCAAAGCCACATGTTAAACTAATGTGTCTTTTTGAGTTTTTTGACCATGGAACAACATTGGACCTCATTCACGAATAACTTCGTAAGAAACTTCTTAAATTTCTTCTCAAGTCGTTCTTCAGTAGATTTCTAAGAAGACCCTACGTGGGATTCATCAACGCACTCGTAAGCCGCTGAATTGTTCGCAGCTGTTCTCTCAGATTGATGAATGCCAACTCCTCGTAAGTACAGCGCGCGTGCCCGGTGCTTCATTAGCATAGGTACTTAGCATAGGTAACCGCCCACTAATGCCCATAAAAGGGACTGCAGGGCCGTGTGCAGACGCCAGAGGAAACAGCAACAGGCCTAAAGCAAAGAGTTACACGGAGCAAAATAGTCACCCCTTTTTTCTTCTTTTGCCAGACTGAGAATAAAGTTATAAAATGTTGACTTAAAAGTCGAAATATTTTGAGAATAAAGTCGAACTAGCAAAATGACGAGATTAATCTCAAAATGTTATGAGATTAATCTAAAAGTATTTTGGACCCTGAGAGGAGATCCAGCACTGAGACCAATGCAGACCCGAGGAGAGACTGGAGAGACCAGCACACAGAAACCTGAGCGGACCGAGGAGACACCGCATAGACTGAGACCAGCGCGGACCGAAGAGAGACCGCATAGACTGAGACCAGCGCGGACCGAAGAGAGACCGCATAGACTGAGACCAGTGCGGACCGAAGAAAGACCGCATAGACTGAGACCAGCGCGGACTGCATGAGACCAGCATGAGACCAGCGCGGACCGAAGAGAGACCGCAGCGACTGGAGAGACCATATGGAGAGACCATATGGTCTCGAGAAATATTTGTGAATGCCACATTCTTCGTAAAATCCTCGTAAGTAGGATTTACGCACAAATTTGTTCGTAAGAAGCGTTCGTGAATGAGGCCCATTGTCTTAATGGTTAATATTCTGCCACAGTCACACCCCCAACCCTTCTGTCTAAAGCGGCCTTCAGACCGGGCCAATGCCTTGCGGCGAGTTTCAAAGAAAACTCTTGCAAATTCTTGCATGAGTGTTTAGGCTCGTGGGTTTGTACGGCGACTGGACTTTGCTGCTCTCTGATTGGTTGCCACATCTGTGCAACCAATCAGAGAGCAGCAAAGTGGTCACGAAGACAAAGGCCGGTCAGAGCAAGAAGACATGAAAACAGGCTAAACCGGGACTAAACCAGGACAAAACCAAGACTAAACCAGGACGAAACCAGGACTAAACCAGGACGAAACCAGGACGAAACCAGGACGAAACCAGGACGAAACCAGGACGAAACCAGGACTACACCAGGACTACACCAGGACTACACCAGAACTACACCAGGACTACACCAGGACGAAACCAGAACTACACCAGGACGAAACCAGGACGAAACCAGGACAAAACAGGGACTAAACCGGGATTGAACCGGGACGAAACCGGGGATAAGTGTCTTGCCCAAGGACACAACGACAGCAGTCATCAGTGGGAGTGGGTGAAGAAGGTCTTGTGGTGGGATCCAACCCACGACAGGCTCAAAAGCCAATGCTCTACTGAGCCACTGTCGCCTCACATTTTACAATCACACACTTTAGTTGTTGTTATACAGAATATAGGCCTAAAGTGAAAATTCAACTCTAGATTTTGACTTTTGTTTTCTCTCAACTATTGGTTATAAACTGCAAACGCTATATGCTTTTCCATATACAATTCAAAATTTTTACTATGAACTTTGTGTTGGATTTGACTGTCAAAGCATCATTTATGATATTCAAACAAATCTTACATTCTTTTTTAAAATTCTTCAAGCAAATATTTGTACATCTTTTCCATTCGGGTCATGCGGCTGAAATCCAGTGAACACACCCCCATTCGTCCGTCAACGCTCGTTCATGCGTTGGCTATGTGAATGCAGCCCAAGTTAGCGGTCTCCAACCTTTTTCTCTTTGACATTTCAGGACAAAATGGCCGTGAGCTCCTTTTTTATGTACAATTGGAGCACACACAAAAAAATCGGTTGTCAAAATGTTATAAAATTAAGACACATTTTACTGAATTTGAACCTTATCTGACTTTAACACTGTGCTTTAAACCGGCCTCACTCTGCCTTCCTGCGATCATTTCTCTGCAATAGCTTCCTGATGCCCAAACTAAACTTCAGGCCACAACAACCCTCTGAGCCACAGACCTTCACCGTTACGACTGAGAATGGACTGTTCTTTGGATCCAGACTTGATGAGGTCGATCAGTGACAAAGCCCCTTATCACAGACTTGAGTTTGGGAAAGGAGCCGAGGAGAATAATCCGCTTACGCACTTCAGGCACCGATCAGACCGATACTCCGGGTTTAGAAGAGAGTGACCTGTGTGGCTCTCATCACAGACCAAGCAGAAACTAAACTGAAGTCCAGCCTTTGATTATTATTCCCAAATCATGTCGTTTGTATTTGATGTATGAAGCATTTGCATTTGGCACTATGCACTAAACTAAATGGAAAAATATGAATATTAAATTATGTATTAATAGCTAAAATATGTAGGTCCTGTTTAACGTTTTAAATAGTGGGCTCTGGAGACAAAATGCCAAGATTCTAGTAAGAGCTGGAGCATGAAGCTTCTATGTCAGCAGTGAATGGTCTCTCTCTGGTCTCTCTCTGTAGTCCCTCTCTCGCTCTGGTCTCTCTCTCGCTCCCTCTTTTTCTCCCTCTCTGTCTCTCTCTAGCTCTGGTCTCTCTCTCCTTCTCTCTCTGGTCTCTCTCGGGTCTGTCTGGTCTCGCTCTAGTCTCTCTCCTTCTCCTCTCCTCCTTCTCTCTCTTTCTGGTCTCTCTCTGGTCTCCCTCTCTCTCTCTTTCTCCCTCTCTGCCTTCGCTTCTCTCGCTCTGGTCTCTCTCTCTCCTTCTCTCTCTGGTCTCGCGCTGATCTCTCCTTCTCTTTCTGGTCTCTCTGGTCTCTCTGTCAGGTCTCGCTCTGGTCTCTCTCTTTCTCGCTCTCTGGTCTCTCTTTGGTCTCTCTCCCCTTCTCTCTCTGGTCTCCCTCTCTCTCTCTGTCTTCGCTTCTCTCGCTCTGGTCGCTCTCTCTCCTTCTCTCTCTGGTCTCTCTCGGGTCTCTCTCCTTCTCTCTCTGGTCTCTCTGTGTCTGGTCTCGCTCTGGTCTCTCTCTCCTTCTCTCTCTGTTCTCTGTCTCTGGTTTCGCTCTGGTCTACCTCTCTCTCTCTTTCTCCCTCTCTGTCTCTGGTCTCTTTCTGGTCTCTCTCTGTTCTCTCTCACTCTGGTCTCTCTCGCTCTGGTCTCTCTCTGGTCTCCCTCTTTCTGGTCTCTCTTTCATTCAACTCTAACCTGTGTACTTCCTCTTGTCTCCTCATAGCCTGTTGTGTTGATGTTGTGTCATTGGAATGCTGTTTAAGTTATCATTTTAATAAGTAATATGTGGCTAAAATATATTGTATACTGAAATACCTGTATTCACTGTTGGCTTCGACCAGTCTGACGGGAGAGGGCTGCGTGCAGATGTAGACCGTTGTCTTTAGCATTAATATGTTGTTTCTCTGTCTAAGGTTTGCAGACTCCATCAGAGGGATGCTGAAGCTGATCCTGGTGCTGATGTTGGCTGGAGCCTCTCTGGCCTCCACGTGGTTCACTCTGACCTGTCTGAGCCAGTACACACACCTGCCTTCCACGGCAGGTAAGACCCACAGACACACCATCGAATCTGGAAGAGTCCAAGATGGCAGACCACTGTGAAAACATTGAAAACGCCAAATATTAGGGTTTGGTTTCTACAGGATGCCAGATGAATGGATTTATTTACTACATGTGTAACTAAAAAGAAGTAAAATACATAATTTTCGGTCTTGCATTATAATTAGACTATTTACTTTGTCTTTCCATGTTTTAGTATGTGAAAAAGTATAATATCTGGTAAAACTAGTGATAAAAACAACTTTCTGCCTGAAATTCCCAAGGCTGCCACCAGAGGGAGCAGCTACAAATACAGACGTGCATTTTAACCTTTGGGCTACCCTCGGGTCAAAATCACCCACCACTGTGATTGAAAGTAGACCGTTGTAGACACTATTAAGGGTTGAAAAGGGCCTAAATGACTGAGGGCTGGTCAAGTTAGGAAATATCATTAAAAAAAATGTATTAGTGTAATTTTGTATCACTGTCGAAGGTAAATTAGACCCAAGGATAGCACAAGGCGACAGTAGCTCAGTTGGCAGAGCACTGGCCTTTAGGCCTGAAGGTCGTGGGTTCAATTCCCACCTCTACACCTTCTCCACCGACTCCCACTGATGACTGCTGTCGTTGTGTCCTTGGGCAAGACACTTAACCCCACTTTGCCCAAAGCCCCCACTGAAAGATCAAGGCTATGCTCACACTCAGAGAGCAGCCGTCCTCCTGTGGACTCACCACCTGCAGAGGGTCAGTGAGGGGCTGGTGCTATGAGACTTGGGTGGCATCTCTGACTGCCACCCCCCTGACCCAGAAATGGATTAAAGGGTAGAAAATGGATGGATGGATGGATAGCACAAGGGTTAACATTATTTTATTTGAGAAGTTGCCACAATTTGTTTGCGTGGATGAATCTTAACTCATTGACTGCCATTGACGTATTTATCAGAGACTGATGATTTCTGTCAAAATTCCCTCTATTGGACTGGGGTTTACTGGAGAACAAAACTAGCGAGAAACCAAATTATTTTTGCTGATAAAAGTAGACAAATAAGTCTTTCAGAATCTGGTTTCATTTTTAACACAGTCATAGCACACAATAATCTGTGGGTCTTGAAAGTCACTGAAATCATCAAAAACGGCTAGCAGTCAAAACGTCTCCAGATTTGAGGGGGCAATGTTGTAAAACACATGTATATCTTCTTTAAAGCTGGGGTACCTAACTTTCAAGACACAATAATTTGAACTGTGTAATATGATCCATATAACTTGTTCCTGGTTAATTAAAGATAAGATAGACTTTATTGATCTCACACAGGAGAAATTTCTCTTGTATCACTGATTTTCACGTGCATGTATTTTTGGCCTTTGTCACATTTGTAAATCTGCCCTCACTCAGCTAAGCCCAAAGAGTCAGATAGTGACTCACAGAGCTCTTTCCTAATCTTATCAAAATGCTTTCTAATAAGATTAAAACAGCATGTTGTAGACAGATTTGCTCAATCTATTTTACTCTTTCTGTTGAGTCAAACTAACTATGACTTTACGAAACAAAAAATTAGATACCCCAGCTTTACTTCATGAGGCTTGATAAAAACATGTATCGCTGACGTCACACTTCTGGGAAAAGGGAGAACGTTCAAAGCGCTCGGCAGGAGAGCAGCTTGTAAACAGAAATAATGAGAGAAGCGAGAAGTAAGTGGCTAAACGCTAAAAAATGGTTACAAGCTAGTCCCGTTAACATCATCGCTACTCGCTCAACGTAAGCACAGCACTTAGTTTCACATTTTCTTCCTCAATTGGAGCTTTTCCTCCAGTAAATATTGGCTCATTTAGACTCACTCCCCGGCAGTTTAGTCAAGGGCCTGAGTCTGTTCTTCCCAGTTCATGATTCCAGCCTCACCATCCATCATCATTGTGGCTCCCAGGCTGCTCCTCTGTGACGCAGCCCAGACTCGGGGGGGCCTTGGCTCTGGGCTGGTCCTGGCTCTTTGCTGGTCCTGGCTCTGGGCTTGTCCTGGCTCTGGGCTGGTCCTGGCTCCACCTGCAGGTCCATCCACACATCGGTATAGCCTCTGCCAGCGCCACTCCAGCAGAGGGCTTTGTGAACAAGTGACCCAGCGGCCGTGGCCTAATTGGGTTGGATTGTGGCGGTGTTATTATCTGTGGATGGAGAGAGATGGCCGCAGATACCCAACACTAACATGAGTAGAGATTGCAATTCGTTCAGGGCTCGCGAAATAAATTCATCGCAATATAACGGTATTAGAAAAGTCTGAAATATGGGTTTGTTGGAATAGATTCAGGGGGTTAGGAGAGTTAATTACATCCAATCCACTTGAATAAATAATTTAGAATATTCTGTATTGCAATATGATAAGTTTCCAAAGTGCTGCACAGAGGCAAAAGAAACACATTTAAATACACAGGTTTTCCAGTTTATATATACATAAAAAGTAGAGGAAAAATAAAATGTATGAAATCTATCAAATAAAATAATACAAATATAAAATGCCAATAATATACACAAAAGTGAGATGTTTTTTATGTTAGAGAAGAGAAGGTCCTGTGCTCTGGGTTTAAGACCACAGAGAAGGCCCTGTGTTCTGGGTTTAAGACCACAGAGAAGGCCCTGTGCTCTGGGTTTAAGACCACAGAGAAGGCCCTGTGCTCTGGGTTTAAGACCACAGAGAAGGCTCTGTGCTCTGGGTTTAAGACCACAGAGAAGGCCCTGTGCTCTGGGTTTAAGACCACAGAGAAGGCCCTGTGCTCTGGGTTTAAGACCACAGAGAAGGCCCTGTGCTCTGGGTTTAAGACCACAGAGAAGGCCCTGTGCTCTGGGTTCAACCCCACAGAGAAGGCCCTGTGCTCTGGGTTTAAGACCACAGAGAAGGCCCTGTGCTCTGGGTTTAAGACCACAGAGAAGGCCCTGTGCTCTGGGTTTAAGACCACAGAGAAGGCTCTGTGCTCTGGGTTTAAGACCACAGAGAAGGCCCTGTGCTCTGGATTTAAGACCACAGAGAAGGCCCTGTGCTCTGGGTTTAAAACCACAGAGAAGGCCCTGTGCTCTGGGTTTAAGACAACAGAGAAGGCCCTGTGCTCTGGGTTTAAGACCACAGAGAAGGCCCTGTGCTCTGGGTTTAAGACCACAGAGAAGGCCCTTTGCTCTGGGTTTAAGACCACAGAGAAGGCCCCATGTCCTGGTGTAGACCCTGGTTTGGTCTCTTGTCCTGGTGTAGACCCTGGTTTAGACCCTGGTTTAGACCCTGGTTTGGTCCCATGTCCTGGTGTAGACCCTGGTTTGGTCTCTTGTCCTGGTGTAGACCCTGGTTTAGACCCTGGTTTGGTCCCATGTCCTGGTGTAGACTCTGGTTTAGACCCTGGTTTGGTCCCATGTCCTGGTGTAGACCCTGGTTTGGTCCCATGTCCTGGTGTAGACCCTGGTTTTTGTCCCATGTCCTGGTGTAGACCCATGTTTTGGTCCCATGTCCTGGTGTAGACCCTAGTTTTGGTCCCATGTCCTGGTGTAGACCCTTGTGTAGACCCTGGTTTGGTCTCTTGTCCTGGTGTAGACCCTGGTTTGGTCCCATGTCCTGGTGTAGACTCTGGTTTAGACCCTGGTTTGGTCCCATGTCCTGGTGTAGACCCATGTTTTGGTCCCATGTCCTGGTGTAGACCCTAGTTTTGGTCCCATGCCCTGGTGTAGACCCTAGTTTTGGTCCCATGCCCTGGTGTAGACCCTGGTTTGGTCCCATGCCCTGGTGTAGACCCTGGTTTGGTCCCATGTCCTGGTGTAGACCCTGGTTTGGTCCCATGTCCTGGTGTAGACCCTGGTTTGGTCCCATGTCCTGGTGTAGACCCTAGTTTGGTCTGATTTCCTGTTGATAGCATTGGTTTGGATCCTTGTGCTGCTGGATCATTTAGACGGAGAGAGATTTACTCCAGTGATGACGGCTTCACCGGAGCATGTCCACCCGACTCTCTCGTTCTCTCGCTCTCTCACACAAACTGGTTCCAAATGGGACCAGATGTGACCAGTGCGCAGCCAAAACCATCAGATTATCACACCTGAGAGTGCACATGACAAGTTTGACTACTCCTTTGGGCTGCAAGATTAATCACAACAGAAACAAAAATCGCAAAAAGACTACAATTATTCATGTACTTTTAAGACAGTTTAATAAATTCTCTGGGGTTATAGAAAATGATTGACTATTTTCTTTGTCATTTCATGTTAGGCTTTAAATATCAATATGTGTAGCATGTTAAAAATCAAGAATATATGGTGAAACAAGTTTTCAAGAATAAAAATTGCTTTAAGCCTGTAAGTCCTTATGCTACCACCAGAGGGAGGTGTTCCTCGCCGATGCAGGAGGGTCCAAGGACAGCTGAGATCCGTGATTTATGGACATTTATTAACAAATATGTACTTTGTCCTCTAACTAAGACCTCCGAGACGACTGCGTACGATTTAGGGCTTTACACAATATATTCAGCTCAAAAAATGATTAAATATAGGTAATAATCGCTTGAATCGTGTGATGTTTTATCTTAATTTTCTGAGTGTAGATTCAAACCTTGACATTAGACATTCTTACAAGATATGCCACTTTATTACTTTACTCTGCCGCCCGCCTCATCACTCAGACCCGCTCCAGAGAGCACATCACCCCTGTCCTTCAAAAACTCCACTGGCTCCTCATCAAACAGCATCCATTTCAAAATCCTCCTCATCACCTCCAAATCCCTTCATGACCTCCTCCAGACCTCACTGAACTTCTACAGCCCTACAGTCTCTCTCGTCGTCTCCGATCTGCAGACTCTCCTCACTCCCACTGTCAAATCCAAGCACCGTCCCTTGGGGGACGGAGCTTTCTCCATCTCTGCTCCCACTCTCTGGAACTCCCTCCCCTCACCTCAGAAACTCGGACTCACTAAACTGCTTCAAAAACACATCTAAAAACTCACCTCTTCCTCCAAACTTTTCTGCTTTTAGTTTTTCAGTTTTGTGTGTCTGTCTGAATGTGTGTGTATGTGTGTGTGTCCTGAATTGCAAATTGTTTTTGAGTTTTAAAAAAGAAGTTGTTTCTGCTGTTCCAAAACTGGCTATTTCCCGTCCGTCTAAAGCATTTCTCTTCTGTTTTCTGCTAAATTGAAGCCTCCGGCGCAAAAATTATGAAATGAAAAGTTATTTGAGGCTGCGGCTTTGTCCATAAATCTTTTTCCAAAGCAGACCAGAGACGAATCGGACCGCGAGAAAGAAGCGTGAATCAAAATGAATTTACGATAAGTTATGGAATAGTGGCTGAAAGTGGACATGGCTGTTGTTTTATCAGGTCTCTCAATTAACTTTTTTGTCAAGCGCCGACTGTAGCTTGGTGGAGGTTCAATCGATAAAATTAATAAAGTAAATATACTGAATCTTGAATCTTGATCAGAGATTCATTTTCTAACAGGCCAATAAATAAGGGTTAATGTATAGAAGGCCTCTGCTTTTGTCCGGTTCGCCCTGACGGTACTTTCTGTCCTGCGTTCTATCGTCACCAAATGTGAAAAAAATGAATAATGCTTCTTATTGTTGCAGTGTCCTCAGGTCTCTCTCTTCTCTCTCTCTCTCTCTAGTCTCTCTTTCTATTGTCTCTCACTGGTCTTTCTATCTCTCTCTTTCTGTATTGTTTCACTCTGGCCTCGCTCTACTGTCTCTCTCTCTGGTCTCTTTCTCACTACTGTCTCAATCTTGTTCTCTCTATTGTCTCTCTCTTTCTATTCTCTCTCTCTATTGTCTCTCTCTGGTCTTTCTTTCTCTCTCTCTGTTGTCTCTTTCTCATTACTGTCTCTATCTTGTTCTCTCTCTGGTCTCTCTCTTTCTACTCTCGCTCTATTGTCTCACTCTGGTCTCTCTCTAGTCTTTCTCTGGTCTCTCTCTCTATTGTCTCTCTCTATTGTCTCTGTCTCTCTATTGTCTCTGTCTATCTCTATTGTCTCTCTCTATTGTCTCTGTCTCTCTATTGTCTCTGTCTCTCTCTATTGTCTGTCTCTCTCTATTGTCTCTCTCTCTCTCTATTGTCTCTGTCTCTCTCTATTGTCTGTCTCTCTCTATTGTCTCTGTCTCTCTATTGTCTCTGTCTCTCTCTATTGTCTGTCTCTCTCTATTGTCTGTCTCTCTCTATTGTCTCTGTCTCTCTCTATTGTCTGTCTCTCTCTATTGTCTCTGTCTCTCTCTATTGTCTCTGTCTCTCTCTATTGTCTCTGTCTCTCTCTATTGTCTCACTCTGGTTTCTCTCTCTATTGTCTCTCTCTGGTCTCTTTCTCACTACTGTCTCAATCTTGTTCTCTCTCTCTATTGTTTAACTCTGGTCTCTCTCTATTGTCTGTCTCTGGTCTCTCTCTCTTTCTCTTTCTCTATTGTTTCCACTCTGGCCTCTCTCTTTATTGTCTTACTCTGGTTTCTCTCTATTTTCTCAATCTCTATTGTCTTACTCTGGTCTCTCTCTCTCTCTTCTCTCTCTCTATTGCCTCTCTCTGGTCTTATATGTTTTTGATCATGAGGCTCTTTGTGGTCAATGAAAGGCGCTGTACAAATAAACCATATGACATACTTACAAACTCCTTTTCCTCTCCGTTTCCATGGCAGCCATCCTCTACACGTCCTGTATTCTGATCGGGATCTTCATAAACAGCAGCGTCCCCATCTTCTTCGAGCTCTTCATCGAGACGGTTTACCCGGTCCCTGAAGGCATCACCTGCGGAGTCGTCACCTTCCTGGGAAACCTGGTGACGGGGCTCCTGCTGTTCTTCCTTACCTTCTACTGCACAGGTACACAACTTTCTACTGCACAGGTACACAACTTTCTACTGTACAGGTACACAACTTTCTACTGCACAGGTACACAACTTTCTACTGCACAGGTACACAACCTCCTACTGCACAGGTACACAACTTTCTCCCTCTTTCAGGTCTTTCTCAGGTCTCTGTCTAGTCTCTCTCTGGTCTCTTTCTGGTCCCTCTCTGGTCTCTCTCTGGTCTCTCTCTGGTCTCTCTCTGGTCTCTCTCTGGTCTCTCGCTTGTCTCTCTCTGGTATCTCGCTTGTCTCTTTCGTGTCCCTCTCTGGTCCCTCTCTGGTCCCTCTCTGGTCCCTCTCTGGTCTCTCTCTGGTCTCTCTCTGGTATCTCGCTGGTCTCTTTCGTGTCCCTCTCTGGTCCCTCTCTGGTCCCTCTCTGGTCTCTCTCTGGTCTCTCTCTGGTCTCTCTCTGGTATCTCGCTGGTCTCTTTCGTGTCCCTCTCTAGTCCCTCTCTGGTCTCTCTCTGTTCTCTCACCGGTCTCTCTCTGGTCTCCCTCTGATCTCCCCCTAGACCAGTCTGCTTTACTAAAGTGTCCCTCTCTCTAAAAGTACCCAGACTGCCTGCATCTCAATCCCTCTAAAGTGACTCACATAGTTGCAGTGAAGTCCAAACTCATTTCCCATGTACCATAGTTCGGAAAGTTTTCTCCTTTTGTCTAAAAAATCTATTTGTGCAACGGAAATGCGCTCGATGAGAGGCCCCTCACTCAGCGCTGAGAGCCACCACTTCCCTCTGTCATTTAGCCTCAATTTGTGTTTGATCAGTCCACTCAGACGGAGGCAGTAATCCAGGCTCTGCCGAGGCTTTCTGAGGCTCCGGGGCAGACTGACGGACAGCTCCAAGATACCACCAAACTGCTAACACGAGCTATGCTTTTATACAGAGGGAAGGTCATTACTGTGCATTCACTTTGGAATAGATAAACAATTTCTATCTGGTCTGACATAGGACTAAACCAGGTCTAACTTCAAGCTGGAGTACCTAACTGGTTTGTTTGTTAATAAAACACACAAATTATTGTTACTTAAAATTTAAACAGACAAATGTAATAGACAGAATGCTATTTCTGTCTGTAACAAAATACATAAACTGACAAAATACATGAACAAACACACAACAGAGTCCAGGGAGAGGGCTATCGTTTCAAAACAAAACACGCAAAGCTAACGTTGTCGTAAACAAATTGCTTATGATCAAATCGTCTTTTCGGCGTAAATGCTAACACTATGTTAATGCTAGCTCTCGCTCAGTCCTCTCCTAATACACAGTCTGTTCTTCACTTACTGTCTTCTCCCCTGAAGACTTTGAGGGGGTTTTCTCTCCCAGTGCAGGTTTGTCTTCGTGGTGGAATTTTTTTCCCAAAGGTGTACATTTCTCCTTGTACAATTTTGCTTCTAAGGAAGTGACGTTTTAAACTTTTCTTAGGAATACTTTAACAAAGGAAAATAGGCTCCATACGGATAGTAATCTTTAAGTAAGTAAGTATCTTTATTTATATAGCGCCTTTCACGGACCAGAGTCAAAGCGGTTTACATTTGTTATTATTTTTTTGGGCATTAGTCTCTCACTCCACACAGAGATGGGAGCGGGGCCAGTTCAGGAGGCACATGCCAGACCCATTGTACATGTTTTTAGTGGTAGGGGAAACCGGAGCACCCGGAGGAAACCCACGCAGTCACGGGGAGAGCATGCAAACTCCACTCAGAAAGGCCCTGTTCCGACTGGAATTCGAACCCAGGACCTTCTTGCTGAGAGGCGAGAGTGCTATCCACTCCTACAGGGTTGTCATGGTATGAAAATTCAACCTCCCGGTTATTGTGACCACTATTATCACGGTTTTCGGTATTTTTATATTAAGTTCAATGAATATGTTCAGAAAGCATTGATAGTCCCGCACAAACTGAAATAGTTTTTAAAAAGTGAACAAATGTCTTTGTCTCATGTTTGTTAGTAAATACACATAGTGGATGTCACTAAAATGCTACAAAAAAATAATAATCTTTGAATTAAGACGGTAAATGTTATAGTCCATTTTTTAACCCGGGGTTTACCACTACACCGGTAATTTAAAGACCTTATGACGGGTTTTTTAAAAAAAAATAGTGGATATCAAAATTGCATGACAATGTCAATTTGAAAGAGATTCCGGCAAAAAAAATCCTATATTTTATAAAAAGAACGTGTTTTTCATGAATTTAAGTTGTCTATGCTCTAACCTGTGTGTGACGTCATAGCGGGTTACGCCCATGCATTGAAAACCATGGATCTATGCCACAGGACTGCCTTTTCTCTCTTCTCTCCACTGATGCCCAACACAATACTGCCCTCTACAGGTGACAATTGCTCACTACACATAAATTGCCGTTTTGAGTGTGAAAAAGTGTCCGAGGTGGGAATTGAACCCCAGTATCTGGATTGGCAGTCCATTGACACAACCACTGGACTATCTCAGTGACAACGAAAAACATATTCTAGTAAATATCTCATACTCGCTGTACACGGCCTTGTCATCTTGAATATCCGCGAAAAAAGAACGAATACCAAATTGTAAACAACTTACAGCATTGAAACGTACCCGTTCTGACGTCACCAAGGGCTGTGAAGTTTTTTCGTTTCTAAGGGCGTTGCTATGGGGTTATTTCGATTTGGGGGGATCAGACAAAAAAAACAACAACTGATTTTGAAACCTTTAGTAGTTCTCTTCTAATATAAAATGGTATTAAAACTGTATTTCTAAATAAATCAAACCCGTCATAAGGTCTTTAACACTTATTCTTCCAGACATTTATTTTGGTCTCTCTTTCTGGTCTCTTTCTGACCTCTCTCTCTCTCTGGTCGGTCTCTCTCTCTCTCTCTGGTCTCTCTCTCTCTAACCTCTCTCTCTCTGGTCTCTCTCTCTAACCTCTTGAAGAAGATGACATAGTCTGTGGATCGTGTCTTACATTCCGACAGAAGACATGTTTTATTGTCGATGGTAGAGACAGCACGAACAAAGCACACGAGCACAGATACAAGAGAATGCAAGTGTGTTATACAGAGCGGAGGCATGGAGACCTCCAATCAGCAGCTGCCACGGTGTGCTTGTAGCTTGGCCTTCAGATAGACAAAACAAGGGAAAAGTACTGGCTTCTGCACATTGATAGAATGATGAGTTTAACTTTAACAAAAGTTGCTTCAAAGTGTTATGAAATCTCACATCCCCCCCTCTGGTCACACATTCACGTGTGACCATCAGGATCGATAAACAGCAACATAACATCATAACTCAATACTTCAACTCGGTACTTCACTCGGTACTTCAAAAAAACTCAGAACTCGGAATACTTCAAAAACTCATAAAACTCATAAAACATGTTCAGATCTTTCATAAAACTTGTCAACAATCTTCAGTAAAATACCAAACTTCATCAGTCGATGGTGGTTCCAGATATTGCTTTGAAAACAGTCTCTCCCACTTCTCCTGTTGGTTTCTTCAGGCTGCATTTGTGTCAGGCCATGAATTCTTCTGTGACGTGTCTTTCAATCACACGTTTCAGCTTCAGTGTCCAGATTTAGCAAATCAATTCAGTCCAAATTATGTCCAAATTCAGAAATCCAGATTGTTCCAAATTATGTCCATGCAAAAGAGGACGATGGTATTGTCCATGTCTCAGAAGCTCACAGCCTGACTGGAATCAGGGGCTGTGCAGATTGTCCATGTGCTGATCCAGATGCATGGTTTCTCTTGAGGTTTCTCAGTTTTGGCTTAAAAAAAAAAACACTTTTTGTGTAAAAAAAAAAAGTCTTCTGTTCTCTAGATGTTACAGACAAGGCCCGCATCCTTCCACCACCTGAAGAAGATGACAAAGTCTGTGGATCGTGTCTTTCATTCAGACAGAAGACATGTTTTATTGTCGATGGTAGAGACAGCACGAACAAAGCACACGAGCACAGATACAAGAGAATGCAAGTGTGTTATACAGAGCGGAGGCATGGAGACCTCCAATCAGCAGCTGCCACGGTGTGCTTGTAGCTTGGCCTTCAGATAGACAAAACAAGGGAAAAGTACTGGCTTCTGCACATTGATAGAATGATGAGTTTAACTTTAACAAAAGTTGCTTCAAAGTGTTATGAAATCTCACACTCTTTCTCTGGTTTCTCTCTCTAACCTCTCTCTCTCTGGTCTCTCTCTCTCTAACCTCTCTCTCTCTGGTCTCTCTCTCTAACCTCTCTCTCTGGTTTCTCTCTCTAACCTCTCTCTCTCTGGTTTCTCTCTCTAACCTCTCTCTCTCTCTGGTCTCTCTATCTAACCTCTCTCTCTCTCTCTCTCTCTCTGTTCTCTCTCTCTCTAACCTCTCTCTCTCTCTGGTCTCTCTATCTAACCTCTCTCTCTCTCTCTCTCTCTGGTCTCTCTCTCTCTAACCTCTCTCTCTCTCTGGTCTCTGGACAAAGAAGCGATCGGAATGAAAACCTGCACAGCCTGTTTTTTAGTGACGCCGCCGCAGAGTCGAGTCTGGAGGGCGTCTGAGGGAACGTGTCTCTGCCACCGCCCTTAACCTTGTTTTATTTTGAAGCCTATTACCAATTTAAATGAACGTTCGACCTCCTGAAGTCCATCAGGCCAAACCGCAGCAGTCAGCGCCCGGGCCTGTGATTGGAGCGGACGCATCTGACCTCTGAGTGTTTGTAAACAACGGGAAGATCGAAAGAGACGATGGAGATATTAGAAAATATTCAATGACTTTAGCTAAATTATTGTTGCACATTACAGACGATCACATGAAACCTGCCGTTCTGTGACTACAGCAGGCCTCTGTGTCTAGATCTCATTTACCTCAATTATAAGTGGGATTTTGCTTCCATCTCCAGACTGGGTGTCCTGTCTGGTGTCCTGTGTGGAGTTTGCATGTTCTCCCTGTGTCTGCGTTTCCACTACCAGTAAAACATACAATAGTTGGGGCCTGCACGTCCTGTATGTGATGGAGTGAGAGAGA